CCAATTGCAACAGTGCCTCTTTATTTCTTGAAAAGTTATTGAAGCATTGGGTCCTTCCCGATGGAGTGTTCTTGAAACTGCCTCACGGGGCATAAAAGGACCCAGAGATTTGAAAATACATGCCATAGATATTGTGAGATGATCTTATTTTGCTACAGCGGCCATTGAGACATTTGTGAGATGATTTTATTTTACTATAGCTGCCACTGAAACACTTGACTAGATAAAGGAAAAACACCAGAGCACCAGGAAGCATTCAAGGCCAGGCACCAAGCACACCAGCCTTGCTCCTCTGGGTAGACCAGATACACAGGCTGCAAAGTCAATGACTCTCTGTTCTGTTACTGTAAAATAAAATTACTTCGGCTCAATTCCTGGGGGGAAAGATCCCATCAAGCTAAAGCTCACAAAATGGGCTGCAAGTTTGGGGGCTACAGTCAACCAACGAGCTTGCAATATAGGAAAGTCGGTACATGAGACAGATTGCATAATGATTTCTGATGGAAGATTTTTTTCTTTTTTGGCTTCCACCTCAGGCAAGACACATCAGTAGATTGTCTGATGAAAAGAATGGTATTAGCCTAGGAGCTTCTGAGTGAGAATGTTAGGAAATTAATTCATTAGGACAGCGGTTCTCAAACTGTGGTCCCAAGGAAGGCAGCATCACTACCATCTGAGAGTCCGTTAGAAACACAAATTCTTGGCCCCGCCCGAGCTCTGCAGAATCTGAATATGTGGCGGTGGGGCTGGGAGATCTGTCTTAGCAAGCCCTCCAAGTGATTCTGCTACACCTTCAATCGTTAACTCATCCACGCAACCAAAGACACTGAATCTGTTGTTATAAAATGAAATCACCCTACTCTACTGCATATTCCACTTCAATTAAGGCCACAGTATGGGGCTAAGGATTGGGGAGGGGGCAAGGGTCAGAGAGAGAAGCTGATGACATCCCTGCCTCTGAGAAATGTACTGCCCACTACGGGAGTCAAGACAGGTAGACAGGCAGCTCAGACAGAGGCAGGCCATTATTTCCTCTAACAAACAGGAGGCTTCAAAGGGGACAGTTGTTTCTGGTTGGGGTGGGGAGGCAGGTAAAAGGAAGCATCGAGAAGACAATACTAAGGGCCTTGAGATCTCGAAGGGATTTTGACCGGCGGGAATAGGCAGACACCGAAGCAAAGGCCCAGAGGTGAGGACACAAGAGGGCTACTCAGGTGCACAGGGGAGTCAGGTCTGGCTGAGAAACGTGAAGGAGAGCTGGGTGAGACAGGTTACTTCCAAGCACAGTCAAGTAAACGTGAGGGGCACGGCTCCTCTTTCTGCTGTGAAGACTGCCCAGTGGCCTATGTCTAGACGCTGATGTCTGATAAACCAGGCGATTTAATGATTTCTAAGTCCAGGCTGCGTTTCTGTACATTTTGCACTGCATTTTCTAGAGGGGAGCACCCCAGCTGCTTCAAGGATAAACGGCTGAAGGTTTGCCCTGGAGGAAGACACAAAAGAAAATTTTAAAGTAGGCGTAAGAATCTGGAGGTCACAGTTGCCTCGGGCCATTCTGCAAAGGGGCAAAATGTTACCACACCTAAAAAGCCCCTGAGGACATTGATGGTTTTCGCTTTATAAAACACCTCTAGTGGGGAGTGGTGTGCCTCAGTCCCAAGAAAAAGTCAAACCAGGAGGTGGGAGAAATGGGTAAAGGGGGTCAAAAGGTACAGACTTCGAGTTACAAAATAGATCAGGGATTGATCGTGTTCAGCACGGTGACTATAGTTACCAACACCATGTTGCATACTTTTAAGTTGTTAAGAAAAGAGATCTTAAAAGTTCTTATCGCAAGAAAAAAATAATTGTTAACTATGCAAAGTGTTAGATGTTAACTCGACGTAACTGTGATTACTTCACAACGTACACAAACATCGGATCGTTAGGTCGTATACCCGGAACTAACAATTTTATGTCAATTATACCTCAATTTTTAAAAATGTAAACCTGCAAAAAAAAAAAAAAAGGAAAGAAAGAAAAGAAAGAAATCTTAAACCAATGCTCAACACCTCCAACGCGAGAAAAAAGACTACTTTTCATGATCAAGAAGGTATGGCTTTTGCTTCTAGAAAACTGACATGAACAGAGGGCTTTATTTCCCGGTGCTGCTAGATGAATGACAGGAAACTGAAAATGTTTTTGATGTCAGGCAAGGCTCTGATGGGAATGGAGATGGATTCAGAACCGGTTGCTCACCCCAGTTCTGCCATCTGCATCATTACAGGCAAGACACTCAACTTCCTCAACCTCAATTTTTCAACAAGACGCTGACTTGTACCACCTTTGAAATTTAAATAAGAAAATAGACAAGAAGTTGCTATGACTATACTTCAATAAAAAGATTTTTTTAAAAAATTCCTATGAAAATTATACAGTACAATACTACACAGGGTGTATTTTTATTATATATATAATTATAATCTCCTCCTCATGAAGACATTTGGGTGCCAATTAATACTAGTCACTGTACTGGTCTTTGAAAATATAAAAGTAAAATGTTTCTTATGCCCTTCAGACTCTGCTTTTAAATATTTGCAGATACGGCAGTTCTAAGGCACAAACTTGGCATCAACCAACCATCCTCCCAAGAAACATTTCAAAGTAAATTTTTTACTTCTCATTTTTTTAAAAAAAAATTGACTCCTCTGACCACGACAGAACATCCAGTTATCTTTCAGCAGCTCCCAGTGAGCACTACATAGTGTGCAGCAACAGAGACATAAGACAGTGATAATTTATCATCGCTCAGTAGTTTAGTCCCAGATGGACCATTTACTAATTTATTTCCATATGTAACTGGCGGAGAGATTAATCAGGCTTCCAACTCAGAAACCTGAATTGTGCTTTATTCCCGTCACAGCCTAACCCTGGGCAAGAAGAAGTACATGTTTACACAGAAAACCAAGAGTTCCTCCTAAAGCCTGTGGATTTCAGATGCAGTCCTTTAAACACACACACACACACACACACACACACACATGCACGCACACCCAGGCACAGCCTGCTCCTGCCAACTTGGAGGGCTGGTTCTTTCTTTAGACACTAATGGGCTTCCCTTAGGAGCTGTGTCTGGTAGAACCACAGGCAGCAGTAAGACCAGAAATGCAGCGCCAGCTCAGGCCCAGTCGCAGCCCCAGTCCCCTCCCTGTGTGCAAGCTCGGGGGCTCGTATTTCTGAAACTGAAGAGATCTTTCTGCCACGGTGCTACGCCCAGCTGGCCTGCCTGTGCAGCGCCCAGGCACTGGAAAGTATGTGCTTTCTTTTTTCCACTCTTTTTAAGGGTCTGAACTTGACTGAATTCAGCAGCTGCCCGTAGCCTCTGTGAGGCTCTCAGTCCCCCTGAGTTCAACTCTCAGTCCACTGTTATTTTTAATTCTATCCCAATGATATCAGCCTTTAGCAAAGGGGGGTTCTCAGGATTGTTGTCGGATGACGATGCTTCCATATAGAAAGCCAGCCAATCCCAACACGGGGCAGAAAGCAACAGTTGCCTAGTTATGCCTTCAGTGGAACTCACGGCCACAGCCAGGAAGGCTCAGGAGCCAGGACCATGCACAGGTATTACTGGCTGGATCCACACACCTGGGTCACTAACCAACCATGTGCCTTCAGAAAAGTTACTTAACAGTTCAAGTTCACAATTCTTTTCTCTGTAAGATGAGTTTAGCTCTCTAAGGTTCCTCTGGCTCTAAAATCTTTGATTCCATGAAGACGGGGGAAAAAAAATCAGCCATTCACCTGGTTTCTGTGTTTAGATGATGCCAAACAGCCAGAAGTTTGGAAGCATCTGGAAGTGGCTGAACTGGTCCCAACGCTTGGAGCTGTGACAGAAGTAGCCTTAGGAATCTCAGTGTCCAACAGACTCTCTCTGAGCAGAAGATAGTTCAACGACATATTCCTCAGTCACGTTTTAAGAATTCAAGGCAATCCAAGTTTGAAGTACTGTTCTAGGTGTGGCCAAGCTACAGAAGTATGTACACCATGGTCTTTTGTCTTTGATATGTTTACATCACAGTCAAGATTCAGTGCATCCTAATATAGTGAAATAAGGGTTATAATTTGAAAAGAAACTGTTAAGGGAACATGAGGGATGGAGAAATCATCCCGGTGAGGGTGAGGGGCAGAGACCTGTAAGGGTTTTGGAGGAACTGAAGTTGAAGATGGAAAGGTGGGAGGAAAGGAATCTGGGCTGAGGCTGCAGTAAGAGCAAAGGCCTAGAACCTTCCCCTCGTGGTCAGGACACGGTGCTTATTACCCTAGGGCAGGATGCTCAAGGAAGAGACCTGGTAAGAGGGAGGTGGGAAAGGGGCTAATGCTGGAAAGCCCTGGACGCCAGCCTAGCAATTGGCTCTTACCTTGTGACCACTGGAAACCTTCAGAAATGACCAGGCAGTGGAGACTCCGAACAAGCTCTGCCCTAAGACGTTTATTCTGGCAATTCTGTTACCATTTAAGGTTGGTAATACGATCAGTCTGTACCTTCATTTTTCTCTTTTTCATTCCATGCTGCCACTATTTGGGAATCCCCCAAATTTATTATTTTTTTTCCAAATCAATTTCCTGGCCCTTCAAATGGAAGCAATTGAGTTTCCTACAAGCGCTGCCAGGATTTCACATTCAGATGAATGGTTCGGCCCAGGGCTTTACATTTTGGTTTATGTGTTTTTCTAGTCTCACAAGAGAGCTAACATAACATGACACAGACTGGTGTTTTTTGGAGTTGTTGCTTTTTACACTGGAAAATATTTGGGGATGATGAAAAAAATATACATATGACTCTTACAAGGGCGTGCACTCCCAAACAGACAAAAGTTGA